TATATATATATATACACATACATGCATACATATTAGTGCTGTCAAACGATTAATCGCGTCCAAAATAAAAGTTTTTGTTTACATAATATATGCGTGTATACTGTGTATATTTATTATGTATATATAAAAACACATGCATGTATATATTTAAGAGAAATATGTTGTTTATATATTAAATATATTTAGATATAACAAAATATAAGAATATGAATATATAAATGAATATATGTGTAGATATTTTCAAAATATATTCTGTATGTGTGTGTATTTATATATACATAATAAATATACACAGTACAAACACATATATTATGTAAACAAAAACGTTTATTTTGGATGTGATTAATCACGATTAATCGTTTGACAGCACTAATATATATATATATATATGCATATCCACAAAAAAAAGGGGTGTGTATATATACATAATATATTTCTGGTGTATTTCTTATAAATATAAAATGTTCTACTACATTTAAAACCATATAATATATACAGATATAATACAATATAAATAAATAAATATTAAACAAACAGCAAAATAAAACAATTAATTAATTAATGTGTACAAAAGAAAGGGGTGCAAAATCTTAACCTTAAAAAAAAATTATATTAGAAATGTTGCCTTGTACTAAGTGCAAGTAATAAAATTACCTAAACTGAAATAAAAATAAACTAAAAGTAAAAAGAAATATTTAAGAAAACAAAAGCACAAAGTAAAAATTTAAATAAAAACTGCAAAAAAAAAGCTTAATTTGAATTAATTTGAAGTGTCATTCATGCCATTTTCAAGTTTAATACTTAGGGTAAGTGGTTAACCCTTAATCTTAGTATGATCAATAGTAATAGTACTGTTTAGTTGCAAAGATCACTATTAATCTAATCCACTATATGCTGGCAGACATCGGTCAGTTCTGCTGTTGACCTTGAAAGCTTTGAGTTTGGTGCGTTTGGATGCAGTAGATCAGTATTTGCAGTAATACAACAGGAGTGTGTAAGGGGAGAAAACGCAGAGGGTTAGGAAACCAAAAGAGACAAAGCGGCAATAAAAAGCATGTAATCGCTTTTGCACGTCCACAATGCAAACATCGCCAAACCCACGGCTGAAATCAAATCAGGGTAAATATACCAAGCACAGAGGGTGTAATAATGAATGACAGAGCTCCGTAGCCCTGACAGCCCATTTACATGCCGTGACAATCCAGTCCTTTCTACATTATTCATGTCCACCGCATGACAACAGCCAAACCTCCTCTGGAAAACCAAGCGGGAGAGAGGACAGCGGCTATCAGGTAAACTATGTAAGGCAATTTACGGCGTGTAAATGGCGAGTGTGACTTTAGACGAAGCCACGTTCCAGATAAGAGCATCATAAATATGCCGCGCACATGGCCACGTGGGAACGGCACGTGGCTCTATGATATCCATTTACACAGGCGTCAGTAATTACCTCCGCCGGATAATACGGATATTTTACGCTGAGGAATTTGGACAGACGTTGAATAGTCGATTAAGAGCAACTGAATGGATTCTTTTTGTGTGCTCTGTGGGGCTTATCTGTTACGAGTTTGCTTTAGTATGCCAAACCACGCCGAGGAAGTGCGACTGCTGCCAGTGTGGATCTGAGGAAGAGAGTTTGCCGTCCCACCGATGTGCTCTGATCTCATACCTGTATAAATCTCTTGCATCCAGCCAAGAGTTTGACAGGAAAATGTATGATTCTCTGTGCCAACATGATTTATTGGTGGTGTTTTTTCTCATGGGTTCAGGGGAAAAAATACAGTTCTTATACGCTTACCTCTCGTCAATTGGCCGGTCGTTAAACGTCCAGCGAATCATTGGCGCAGGGTATCCCTTCATGACGCATGGCAACAACACGCTCTCCCCGACAACCTTCGCCACAGCAACTGGGCCCTGGAGAGTCTCCAGTTTTTCTTCAACACCAGAATCTGCAAAAACACACAAAAATAGCACAAATGTGACTATAAAAATATTATCAGTAAACTCACAATTCAATGAACAGAAGTAATAATAATAATAATAAAATTATTATTTTACTTATGATAATATATTTAATGTATAGTAATAATAATGATAATATATTTATAATAGTATAATAACTAATTAACTTATTTGAATTAACTTTAAAAATGTTATAACAAGTATGTATAAATATATATTTAATTTATATAAACAAACAGTATCATCTCATGAACTTTTGAAAAATTCATAATTTAATCAATCAAAAAATTTATTTATTTTTATTCTACTTCATTTTATAATGTCTCCAAGATGCTTCAAGAAACTTACCTGCAAAGCTACCTGAGAAACTATGCGCAAGTGCACCGAGGGCAAAAGCTGCTTTAAACGCAAAGGATGCTCACACCAAATGTAGATTTAATTTACTTAATAGAAGTTAACTGATAAAGAAAATCGATTTATGACATTATTTTTGACAGCATCCTCATTTTACAGCATTTTTACACAAGTGCCTGAAACTTTTAACAGTACTGTAGCTTTGCAGGTAGGTTTCTTGAAGCATCACGTATACAGGACAACATTTTCAAAATGATTCGCGTTTACACACATCCGCGAAAACGGCCACAAACGCTGTATTACGTATGCCAGGCCAGTAGTTGGCGTAAAACAGTACCTGTAGGGAAGTGACGATTATATGATGTATATGATTCGTTTCCGCTGTTGGTTGTAATATTGGTGAAGTAAATCCACACTTTCCTGAATTACCTGTAGGGAAGTGACGATTATATGATGTATATGATTCGTTTCCGCTGTTGGTTGTAATATTGGTGAAGTAAATCCACACTTTGCTGAAGAAGCGTTAGCAAACTCTTGAGCATCAACAACAGTACCATGTGCTGCACCAATGTTGTGTATGTTTGTTCGCGCTTGCCTTTAAAATCGACACGTACTGCGCATGTCTACACACCTAACACGTACTACGCACACGCATGACGTCAGCGTTTTCAAAGATTCCCGTTTTGGCTGTTTACACGGAAACGACAACAGTGCCGCTGTCAAAAACTTCTACTTTGAAACCCGTTTTCAAAAATATGCGTTTTCAGTCCCCAAAACGCCGTTGTCGTTTAAACGAACAGGCAAAACGCATAAAACGTTTCATGTTTTTTGCTGAAAACGTTGTCGTGTAAACGGCCCCTTAGTTCTGAAGCGTTTACAATCACAGCACACTGTGTGTCTGTCTGTACCTGCAGACACCTGTAGTTCTGCCTCCTCTGTGGTTTTGGCCGGTCCCAGGCCGTCTATGGTGCAGCGGTAGAGTCCGGCGTCGCTCTGGGAGGCGTTGCTGATGACCAGAGCTCCGCTGGGCAGCTGTATGACTCTGTCGTACAGCTCCACGGGCCGACCATCCCTCTCCCAGCGGGTGAACGGGACGAGCTCTTCCGTCACCTCACAGCTCAGCATCTCAGTGCCGCCCATGCGCACCGAGACACCCTCCGGCTGACTGAGGAAACGTGGAAGTCCTGCGAGAAACGAACAGATCAGCTGCGTTACACTCATACAGTAAAGCTCACTTAATCTCTACACTGACAGAACGAAGAAATTAAGCGAGAACAATTCAAATAACCAACCCCGAGGAGCTACAGATGGAAATTAGATGCTTTGCTAACTCTGGAGAAATTAAGTAAATAACACTAATGGTCTTGTCAAACCAATTAGCAAATAAGCTTGGGAGACGAGCAGCCATTAAGCATGTTTGAACAGCACAGCGGAGGGTTTGTTCACGATCATATTCCACTTATTTTATTAATACATTGATTAATGCATACTTATTAATTGAAGAGGCTCATTTCAATGAAGAGAAACGGATTTGTCTTTGAATTCCAGTTTAACTCACCAACTTGCTAATTTAAATAGAATTTATTCAAAGCCTGCCCCGAATTAACATTCATCTCAAATAAGGAATAAAAGAACAGTTTTAAAGGAAATATATACTAAATGACCCTTGACTGTTGATTGATTTAAACTTATCAGATGAGGTTAATACTGAAAGCACTGCTTTAATATTCATAACTGAATATATAAAAAAAAAAAAAAAAGGTAAACTGTGATCAAATCTTAAAGGCACAATATGTAAGTTTTTGATTTGTTATTGTTTTGCATTTACAAAACAATAACAAAGGCAAAGCTTGATGACCCTATAAAGGAGGATGTTCACGGATGAGGTAATGAATACATTTTTTTATTACCTGTACCTTTCACAGCTATTCAAACAGAGAATAAATTATACAGAGAATGCAAGCAGAGAACATTTACATTGTCAAAGAACATTATGACTGACTTAATTCTAGCGCGAGTTTAAGCACTCCAAAAAAAAAACTCCCCTTATAATCAGTAAAGCTGTCTATACACGGTTTTATAAATGAATCTCTTGCATCATACGTACATCTGCACTTTGTTTATGATGACAGAATTTGCATCAGAGCTGAATTCAGTCGGCGAGTGTGTGCACTGAACAAAAACTCATCTGAACGCCTCTGATTGGCCATTGTATTCATAAGCTCAACAGACTCGTGTGTGATTGGTTATAATGCTCAACACTGTAAAAACACGTAAAAAAATCATGCCGCAACTAGATCAGATTTAAATTTAATGCTGTGGTCAACACTTTTCATTTCATTTTCATTTTATTCATGACAGCCGTAATGGATGTAGTTTAACTGTACAGCACTGTGTTGCCGTAGTTTCTACAAGCGCAAACTGAGGATATGCGGATATTACGTCATTGCTAGGCGACAATGATCAGGGACGAGTCATCATTTCAAATGGGAATTTCACTGGATTTACAAATCCTCTGGAATTTTTGGCATAACATAAATACACAGCTGCATGAAATATATCAGACTGTGCAAGTAGTTTTTGGATATTTTATTACAAAAAGTCCCTCTGTAGTCAAAAATGTTATCCCTTAAAACTCATCTTTGATCATCAAAATTACACATTTAAATGTTTATTCTTGTGAAAATAATTTTCTCTTGCCTTAAAATAGCTTGAATGGAACTCTACACCCTTGCCTCATTTACTATACGTGGATCTATGAATACGCAAACTAGCCCCGCCTCCACTCAGTCACACCAGCCAGGGCCTCCTGATCCACGGATAATGACTGATAAAACTATGTTTTTCCTAGCGGACAACTACAGTGGATACTGTAACATTCGTTAAAGTTATTTACTTAATGTTGCGTCCTCAAAATGCCTTCAAGACTCGAATGCAGCCAAGTTTGTGATTCTTAATTCGTGCCCACGAGTAATGCGTGTGAATTGCGGACTCCGGGCTACTTTTACACTGTTGCCGCGGGTTATTATTCAAGTTAGCGGTTCTAAATTCATGTTAAACCAAGGCTTCTTGGGTTTTTTGCTGTATTTTATTTTTGGTTTTGTGCTGGTAATCGTATTGGTATATTTTGCATGCGATCTCTATGCGCGCCGCGTTTGTATAAATGGAGAGAGGGATATGCTAATGATAGGAATCTATCCCTTGACGTGATTGGTTATTGAATTTTGTGACGAAGCAAACCGATGGCTGTTTCAAACCGCGTTTCTGTGACTGCCATTGGGAAACTACAAGTTTTAAGGAGAAAATACTCAGCAATGGTGTTGATTAATGGATTGGCACATGGTTTGTCTAAAAGCAAATTGAAAACACCACACAAACAACATAAAAAACTTGATTTTCACTACAGGGGGACTTTAACAAAATATAATTTTTTTTTTTTTAAACACTCAAAAATATTATATAGGTCATTGTCTAAACACACTTATATTAGGGATGCTCTGATCGATCGGCCGGAGATCGCTATCGGCCGATAATCACATTTTATGACTTGATCGGTACTCACTAACTTGGCCGATCACACGAACCGATCGCAATTTGATGACGTCAACACATAACGTACATGATGCGTGGGGACATAAATGATTTGGCGCCGCAGTCATGTCATCGTCGGTGTGGAAATGCTATGACGTTTCGAGAAACAATGAAAAATTTGCTATTTGTCGTGTATGTTTTGCATGATGATATGATGAATGTATGGTTCATTTTTAACAGCAGATTCAGTGACGTTAGAGCTGATCTGTGCCTCACTGCACATGTCTGCGGCGCGGCTCCACGGGAACTGGAGCTGATCGCAGCCGCTCTAATGCTTGTGTTTATCAGCCAGCCACGGCACGTTTCTGAAGCGGCTCTCCGCGCTGCTTGGCTAAAAATAGTCTTTTGTGAGTTATCAGTGTGGAGGACGGAACAATACCTCGTCAGAACCGTAAGGGGTAACGGTAACATAATACGCTGATCGTGGGCTGCTTTTAAATGAATATTTATTTATAAAACAAAATAACTTCTTTGGCCATATTAGCCTACTCAATAGCATTAACACAAGCTTTACTCCTTTCAAACTTTATCTGGAATGTCACCGTTTCTGTCACTGCAACTTCCCGATCTGGAGAACGAACACACACACACACACACACACACAAACAAAATGTATTTAAAAATATTTAGTTAATATTTGTATCATTTATGATTTATTTTATGCACCCGCAAATAATCTGCATTTGAGCCCAACTTCAGTCTACTCATCACCTTAACTTTAACTGCGTTTGTACCCCGCGCCACAGCCAGACTGATAAACAAACACAGACCGGAAGTTAACTTCGGGTCAGGCGCGTGTGCCCGATGAAACAGTCTACATAAAGCTTGAAGCATCAGAATCGGTATCGGCTGATCACCATGACAAGAAATCGGTACTCTGTATCGGCTGCAAAAATCCTGATCGGAGCATCCCTAACTTACATATTTAAAGAAATTATAAATTATAAAAAAATGCAGAATACACACAACTAAAATAATAATAATAAAAGTTAAAAAAATTATGTTTTTGTTCTTTTCCTCCTTTTTTTGTGAATATGACAAAGGTAAGTAATGTATGTAGAGGAGAAAGAAGCGAAAGATTTAATCAACAAATACTCATTTAGCACAAGCGTGCACTAAATATTTAATATTTCATATAAAAGGAAAAATAAAACACTTTGTGCCATTAATTGCTTTGAAAATTCATCAAAAGATGAAGCACAAATAAACAGATCTTAAACCCCAAGAGAATCCTTACACACAAACACAAACACCAAGAAGATTGTTATTTCTCTCTTGTCTTTAATCTCACGCTATCGAGCCTGCACAAGTTCAAAGATGTTCCTGAAGTTTGTGGAAGAGCTTTATAATTCACCGTACAGACTGCACTCTCTCTAACAGCTGAATGTATGAGAGCCCAGAGCGTCTCTGACATCCTAATGCTCTCCTGGGCTATTTATGTGCCCTGGCTGATGTAGGACTTGTTGTGGTCTAGAAGCACTAGAGTGGTGTGTGTGTGTGTGTGTGTGTGTGAGAGGTCTGCTGACAGGTCTGTAAATAAGCCCGAGCCTACGACCCGATTCACAGACACACACACATAGCGCTTTTAACAGCACACAAAATCCCAGAGGACTGACGCAACAGGCCTGAAGACACGACACTCACACGGTTCTCCTTCAGTGAAGATGTGTGACTGCATCAGGACTCAAGCCGGGCAAATAAGGACAGAACAATGTGCTGTTGGCAGACAGAGCCACTGTGTGTAAACACTTTACTGAGCCTGTCAGAGAAACTCATAGTTCACATACGCAAACATACATTCAGACTAGACAAACACTAATACTCTGTCTGCATTGATAAGACCATCATAAACACACTGACAAACTCTACCAATACACACATGCATTAATTCATATGCACACACACAAAAACTCTAACACTGCTTAATTTACTTAAACTAGCACTAGTACTACTAAACTTAAGTTGGCAGTTGTTCAAACCTGTGGCACTAAGTATTAGATTTCAGCATTGTGCAAAAAATCTTTCAGATCACCTTTGCAAGCACATAGCAACACGCAAGACACTCTTGTGTTGGCTAGTTGTGTACCCATGTTCCTCTAGTGCATTCATTCATTCATTGAATCACACAGAATCTGAGGCTCTGAGTTGTGAAGCTGAGCGACAGAACATCAAACAGATGCTCTGACAGCCTGCTGGTATTTTGAGAAGGAATACATGAAAATCCCAGCACACCACAGACACACACACACACACACTGGAGCAGTGAAGATGCCAGTGTATCTGCCTGCAGCCCACATAGAAAACCCACACAAGTATGTGAGAGAGTGTGTGTTTGTGCAAGCGTGCAGCTCCAGCAAATAATGTCGTGTGTGATCCATTCACATGCTGTGTGCACGTCTGCAAAGATCCGGCCTCCGATCTCACTGCATCCATCTCTGATGTGACGGAGAGACACCGGAGGGGAATCATTAAACACAGCTTGGAGCTGTCTACAGCCTGAAGGCAGACAAATCCACACACACACGCACACGCACACACGCGCGACAGACATTCACACAACATCTCTGAGGCCAGCTCATATTTCTCTCACTGG